CGCTTCACATGAGTGCCAAGAATACAGATGACCCCGCCAAATCGAACGTGATGATGAAGCAACGACGACAATGAAGCAACAGCAACCATCCCCAGCATCACCGTCGGCAACCCAACTTGTGGCATCCTTCGAAGGGGTCGGCGGATTTGGGCAAGTCTTTTCTTGAGGTTAACCAAAAGGAAGCCACTTGTTGCAGGGGTCCTCTATTTTGAAACAGACCCATCTGCAGTTCGTCCCAAAACTCCTGTAGTCTACAGTCAATTTGGGAGGAACACTCTCTCTCTCTCTCAATGTTCACCAAACAACCGAGTCGCAAATTGTCCCATGTCATGTTGACTGCTCATTTGGAGTGGATTCTGGCAAGGCAAGTGCTTGAGTGTTTGATCTTCTGCTCAGTGGCGACTCAGGACGCCGGAGGCTTCTTTGCTCATCGCAGAAGACGGAATGATGCTCTGTGCTTAGAAGGCTTTCTCTTGAATCGGGTTGGCCCCCCTATCAAAGTGGGCATTTCTTGCGGTTGGTTTCCCTTTAAAGCAGCCCCACCCTGAAAGAACTGACGCGCCCAGAATCGTATGCTTGAAACTTGTGGTGGCACAAGTACAGGCCTGAGCGACAACATATGGCATTGGCTCAACATTCCTTGGGTTCCCTTTCCACAAATCCCAAAATTTGGACACCCGAGGCTCAAGCACACACAGCTCAGGCATGACAGAGCTCCTGAAGCATACACATCTCGAGCCGAGGCTTAACAGTGGCTCCTTCCTGCTGCGGAACAATGACTGGGGTGCAGTGCCCTGGCAGGGACTGTCACACCTCGTATAATGTACACTTCTTGTGCTATGTGCTTGCGACCTACAGCTGCAAAAGGGCTTCAGTATTCAGGCTTCTCTCGCTATCTCTATTTCTGTTTAGATCTCCGTCTCCATCTTCTGCATCTCTACTTTTGTTGGTTGACATCTCAATCTCTATGTCTGTCTCTATCTCCATCTCCATTTGTATCCTTCGCTTTCTCCATCTTGTCCCTATGTCTGCCTCCATCTCCGTCTCTGTCCCCCTTTTTTCTTCTCTCTCTCTCCCCCTCTCCATCTCTCTCTCTCTCTCTTTCTCTCTCCCTCTCTCTCTCTCTCTTTCTTTCTTTCTTTCTTTCTTTCTTTCTTTCTGTCTCTCTCCCTCTCTCTCTCTCTCTCTTTCTTTCTCTCTCCCTCTTCGTTTTCTCCCTCTCTCCCTCTCCCCGTTCTGTCTCTCTGTCCCTTTCTCTTTGGTGTTTTGTATGCCACTAAGGATTTCCTGGCTCGTACGGTGCAGCCCTGAGCACTCAACTTGTCCAGTCCTGCTGCAACCAAGGTAGCTTGTTGAATATCCATGATTTGTGCGTCGTTTGTCCCCAAATGTGGATATTTCAACCTCCAAACCCTAAGCCCCCAAAAGATCATGCTTGCGGGGTGCTTTGCCGTTGGAGATCAAGACAGCACTTTGATCCTGCGCATGTCCAGATCTTTTCCGCCACGCAACAGGAACTCATTTCAACCTGTCCCAAAGCGCTCAAAATACGACTTGAAGCAAACCAAGACGAGAGAACCCCGATCCAACACGCATTGTTGGGTCCTCGGGCCCCTCTTTGCCATTTATAGCCACGGGCCAAAAAGGCCATCACCACACTCGAAAGTTCTGCCTTATGGCGATGCTCGCCGTGATGGTTCTTCTGATTGGCGCGGAGGCAGATGCAGAGGAGCGTATCTCAAACTAAAGGCGATTCAATCGGGAGCATAGGATCCTGGTCCCCAAGTAAATCCTCCTCCAAAATGTTTTTCTTCTTTCGGTATCCGTTCGCCTAGCAACATGCTTTGAGAGTGAGTGCCAGGCTGCGCTGCGCAAGGGCGACCTGCTCTTCGTGCATGAGCTGGATGCCCAGGGCTGGGGTGTTTGAGGGTACCCCTTTTCAGGTTGGCTACAAGGTGAACCAAAAGAAAGCCGACCATTCTGGGTCCCCCTATTTTCATGCTGTTGCGCCAAGGTCTTTGAATGCGTCAGATCCGCTTTCGCGGGCAATCCAGGCATGGGGCCGCTTTGGGTTGTGTCAGCTTCAGTCAGACACGCGGACCCAGGGGTTCCCCCAGAATGAGCAAGAGTTGGCATGCGTTTGAGTCTCGCGCTTTTGGGCCCATAAGTGAAGCCTGGCAAGACCCAAACGTCGGCTCCCAGGCCACTGGCACGGCAACTATCCGATGGCTTCGGCAGCATGGACGCGCGGCAGGGCATTTGCGACAAGAATAGTGCTTGGCAAGAGAGATCATATTTCCCAAAGTACAAAAGGCGGTGTCAAACAACATCGTGCCTTCTCTTCCACAACACTGCATTTTAAACCGACTTGAGGTCGGCTAACTTTACCAGCACGGCAGAGCCAGCGATCGGCTCTGGTCCCCTGCAGGGGCGGGAAACTGTAAGCTAGTCCCTGTGCATGATGAGCAGTTCTGCCGCTATCGCTGAGGAACCTCCGTGTTGTACAACGACACTGCCATGCATGTTGCAATGGCGATCGACAGTAACACCCTCGTGGAGGCGTTCTTGGCCAATTGCTCTCGTTGAATGGCATGTACACGATGCTAACAAAAGGGCCCCAAGTATGATCGATACCGCGATACCCAAGTGAATCTTACACCAAATTGCCTCCTTCTTGCAGCCGAAAGAATGAAACCGCGCTGCCTTTTGCAGAGGCAGCTGCGGACGGTGTGCAAGTCCGAAATCTGGACACTTGGCTGTCTGGCACCAAGAAGACTTCGATGTGAGCTTGGGTCCTGCACATGGCAGGACTCATGCACGTTGGCATGGCAGCGACATTCAGACATGTAGCGTGGCAGCCGCGACACAGGTCAGCTAAAGAATCCCAACAGTTTCATGGCAGAGGCTTTGAAGTATCTTCCGAGGTGAAACTCAGTAGTGTTTTGCGTTGGCAGCTTTGCCCTTTCCACTTCAAAACTCTAGGGCCAAAGTTTTGCACTGGCACGCACTAGTCCCATGCCCGGAGGGCGGAGCGAGAGTGAGCTGCAGGTCACTCTACCCCGCTCCTGCGGAGGTCTATCAAGGGGATGCTCGGCCTGAGTTATTTTGGTGCTTTCGCTGCACATGTTGCGTTCTGATTTTGGTCAATGGAAGCAAGGTTGAACACGCACGCACCCGCGCACACACACACACAAACCCATGCATGCCCTTTGAGGAACAACCCGACAACACCAGGATGGTTGCATGTTCTGATGTGAGTGACGAATGCCATGACAACCTGGCTGTCCATCCATCCAAGCTCGTCACTTGTCGACCTAGCCACCACGAAGAACCCTTCAATTTTGACTTGCTGAGCATGACCTACCATGCATGCATCCCTCTCGCCTCTCACCTGAGTCGCAACCAAAATACGGTTGCCAAAAGGTGAGTTGTATTGTCCTCTCCGACCCCCAGGTGTCCACAATCAAAGCCTGCGTGGATGAAGGTTGGTATGGGACAGTCACTGCAAACTATGCGTGGGTACCCTTTTCTTTGCGCGGTCAAAGGGCTGGTTACAGTATTTTGTTTAAGTCTCCCTGCTGCTTACCCCTGGGTAATTTTGGTTTTGCTTACCGTGCTTTACATTGATCGATTTGATGCAGGAACTTTTCGGCGTCGACGAGGACGCAAGTTAGAGCGTTGGGCAGGATGTGTTTGGTTCCGAGCCAGGGCTTCAAGGAAGCACAGACAATCAGGATTGTCGCCACATGAGGGAATCTCCAAACAGTTTTCACTTTGGTTTCCCTTTGAATCGCCCCGGAAAGGGTACCCTCCAAGCCAAGCACATCCAATTTCACAATTGTTCACTTGAGGAAGCTTGCAAGGAGTGCTGTTCTGTGTGGCTTGCCAGAGGTCTTAGAGAATTTCACATGCCCACATCAAACATGCACACGCGTTTGATCGTTCCGTTTGCCGCGGTGGGCCAGAGATGCATGCGGACCGCAGGAGGATCGCGCTCGGGCGGCTGCTTTTGCTTTGAGCAAGGTGGGCCTGCCGTACGCAGATGACTTTCAGGCCTGGGCTGGCGCGTGAGCCTTTCGGTTTTTTCATACCTGCGATAGAGCCGTGATTTACCAAGGGTTTGTTGCTGTCTGACACTGTGAAGACCATGTACTGCTTATAATGCTGCGTGTTTGGCTTGCGGTGTCACCAACGCTCTCAGCAAGGCCGCCAAGTTTTCGTGCTTGCCATACTACATACTGCTCGATTTTGCCTTGCAGTCCCAGTGTCAAATTTGCAGACCACGCTGTCAATGTGAAGCCAAAGCCTCCGGCCCACTTCCATGTTTGTTGGAAAAAGTCGTTCGCTGTTTTACAAAGTGTTTGGCCATTTTACAAATTACATTTACCAAATGTCTACCCTCATGGATTGGTCAAATTTGCAATGATCGGATCCAATATTGATTCAGAGCCACAAGCAGAGCCATGGGAAGGTTATGACCTTGGCCCTGAATTGCCCCTGTGGTCGCTTTCGTTTGGCCCTTCGATGTTGAAGTGATTGCACAAGTGCCGAGTCCTTCAATCGTATCCTTTGGCTCTTGCTTGATTGAACCGGCCACGTTGCTGACACCTGCCAGCCACCGGATGTTGGACCAGAAAGCTACTATTGCACCTTGGCCAAAAGACGACGGGGATGCTCTGTTGGCACAGTCCGTGCTCACATTCACTTGGGGCCGTGGGGTCTGGTCTGCCAATTCATTTGCACTTGGAGAAAATAGACACCCAAGGCTCGAGTCTGGTCGACTATGCCTACAGGCATGCGCTGAATAGCATCCAGGAAGCAAGGAACGCCATCCATCATCTTTGCCACTTTCCACTCGGCTTTGCGGCACTTCCTGCACACCGCAAGCTTTATACAGACTTCTGAAAGCCAAGTTTGCCCATGCCTGAGGTAGCCTCGTCTTCACCTCCATTGACATGCCCTTGATCTGGGCACCAAGAGATTTTTGGGAGGACTATTACAGGTGCGGCAAGAGCAGGAAGCACGGATGAGGCTTTGAACATGAGTGGGAGCTGCCAGGCAGATGAACAAATCTCTGCCGAGCTACAACGGCTCCAATCCCACCCTGCTGCTGCAAAGCGAGCCCTGGGCGTATGGAAAGCAAAGGGTTCTTTGCTTGGCCCTTGGTTGTTCTAAGGGGTCGCAGGGTCCTCACCTCCAAGGCTTCAGCAGGACAAACATTCAAACCCGCGGGGTTTTTCTCTGAGCTGGAGCCATCGCTTTGTGTGAGCCAAGGATCGCGTCGGCTATAGACACCAGATGTTGGAGGTGATAGCTTGAGGGCGAAAAAGCGCTCGCAGTATCTCTGGGGCTTGGACACTTCCCGATCCTGGGATAGGGGTTCCCCTGGACCAAAAGTGTCCCTTTAGCGACACCTACGCAGCCTGTGGACCTGGCAGGTGGACCTTCTTTCAGCACCAATGCCTCAGTCCTTCCAGCACATGCCGTGGCACGAGCAGGCGGATTCAGATGGCTTCACACAGGAAGGTCGGGTGCGAGCGCAGGCTCCTCTCATGTACCTGGGAATGGTGCCTTCCGTGCTGGAAGGGCTCGGGCCACTCGAACAGCAGTGCGATCAATGCAGTGGAATTTGCCTTAAACCAAATTGTGGCTCCGAACACAAATAACACACCCATGTCAGCATACGGACGAGGTCTCAAGCACCTGGGCCCTTGGCATCGGGCTACGACCCTCACGTGGTTCTGCTCAGGCGGGCTCGGGCGAGTTTGAAGCCAGATCGAACTCTCCAGCAATCTTTGGGAAAGGTAGAAAGGCACATTGGAGCAAACGGGCGTGCATGATGCAAGCAACGATCCTTGTCAACCTTAAGGCACAGGCTTAACGTTCGAAATGAGTCGCATTCCAACAGGCATCGCCACCACCTGAATGAACGATTGGGGCTTCGTTCTCTTGAGGATTCCTCCTATTCTGCTCCAGAATCGAAGGATGTCTGCTAAGCAATACTCTATCATCCGGCTACATGTTTGCACGGTTATATCAAACGCCCATCGATGCGATAGAGCAGGGGCCGATCCGACAGGCAAAGAGCACTGAACTCCTACCCCCAAGAGCAGCTTGGCGAGCTGCAGAGCCACGTGAGCAGCGCTTGTGGCAGGTGGTTCTACCTTGCTTCATGGGGGTCATATATGGCCTTCTTTTGCATGTTGGTAGACCCAAGGGTCACGGCTCTCCCTCAAAGTTAGCGACGATATGCTTGCCAGCTTGCTTTGGCAGAAGCTGCGCCCGCAGCCACATCCAGACATGGCAACGCGCCAAGGCTTGTGCAGAAGACGCAGCACGCTTTGGTACGCCTCTCTTCAACCACATTTTGCGTTTGTCTTTGCCTTGAGATGTTTTGCTGACGCGAGCTCGACAGCCGTCAGCAACAGATGTGTCTCGCACTCGCCCCGCGCAGCCTCACGAGGGCTTTGAGGAGGGCGCCTCCGCCTCAGTCAGCTCCCGGGATCCTTCAACGGCTGAAGTGAAGCTCTTAGGACCTGGTGGTGTCCTTCAACGGCTGCTCCTCTGTGTTGGGCCGCGAGTTTTGCGAGGACAGCTTTGTTCTCATTAGACAAGAAATAAACACGTGCGGCAGGACATGTACGAGCGCTACCACCAGGAGTATGCCCGACATGTTCTCTGCAGACAAAGTCAGAGTTTCATCGACCTGTTCATTACCTCTAAGGAAAGTCTTGGAAAAGACAAGTGTAGGATTCATTTTTTTGATCACATTATGCATTCCCCGGAACAAGTCCCAATCACATGTCTTACACCAGTCACACGAACGCCAGAAGCTTCAGACACTCATGCTAGCCAGGTCGTTGCATCATCTTCAAAATAGCATCTATATACATTCATTATCGAATATTGGAACTATATCATGTTTAATTGAGTCATGTGCATGTATCATGATTCTTGTGATTTGATTTGTTTGTTTGATTGATTTGATTGATTGATTAATTTGATTTGATTGATTGATTGATTGATTGATTGATTGATTGATTGATTGATTGATTGGTTGGTTGGTTGGTTGGTTGGTTGGTTGGTTGGTTGGTTGGTTGGTTGGTTGGTTGGTTGGTTGGTTGGTTGGTTGGTTGGTTGGTTGGTTGGTTGGTTGGTTGGTTGGTTGGTTGGTTGGTTGGTTGATAAATTGGCTGGTTGATCAATTGGTTGGTTGGTTGGTTGGTTGATTGATTGATTGATTGATTTGATTGATTGATTGATTATTTGATTTGATTTGTTCTGATTTGATTGGATTGGGTTGGGTTGGGTTGGGTTGGATTGATTTGATTTGGTTTGATTTGATTGATTGATTCATTCATTGATTGGTTTATTGCTTGATTGCTTGATTGATTGATTGGATTGGATTGGATTGGATTCGATTCGATTTGATATGATTGGATTGGGTTTGATTGTTTTGATTGTTTTGATTAATTTGATTGATGTCATTGGTTTGATTGGCTTGATTGGTTTGATTGGTTGATTGATTGGATTGATTGATTGGATGGATGGATGGATGGATGGATGGATTGATGGATTGATGGACTAATGGATTGATGGATTGGATTTGGATTGGATTGAATTGAATTGAATTGAATTGAATTGGATTGATTGATTGATTGATTGATTGATTGATTGATTGATTGATTGATTGATTGATTGATTGATTGATTGATTGATTGATTGATTGATTGATTGATTGATTGATTGATTGATTGATTGATTGATTGATTGATTGATTGATTGATTGATGGGTTGGTTGGTTGCTTGCTTGCTTGCTTGAGTGAGTGAGTGAGTGAGTGAGTGAGTGAGTGAGTGAGTGAGTGGTTGACTGACTGTCTCATTTGATTGAGTGATTGATTCATTGCTTGCTTGCTTGCTTGCTTGCTTGCTTGCTTGCTTGCTTGCTTGCTTGCTTGATTGATTGATTGATTGATTGATTGATTGATTGATTGATTGATTGATTGATTGATTGATTAAGGAAGGAAGGAAGGAAGGAAGGAAGGAAGGAAAGAAGGAAAGAAGGAAGGAAGGAAGGAAGGAAGGAAGGAAGGAAGGAAGGAAGGAAGGAAGGAAGAAATTGATTGGTTGGTGGATTGGATTGGATTGGATTGGATTGTGGCTTTTTTTATTTAATGGCCTGCGGCCTGGTTCCGCCGCCCCCACACACCTTAGAATTTCGGCCCGGACACGAGAGAAGCACGCGATATGTAGACAGACACAGACAGACAAAACACGCACAGACACGCAGCGGGGGGGGAGGGTCTTCGCGGACACGAAGACAGACGCAGATGCGCAGGCAGACGCAGACAGAGCCAGACAGACACAAATACACAGACAGACACGCGGGGGGGGGGGACACGAAGAAAGACGCAGATACGTAGACAGACACAGACAGACACAGACAGACACAAAGAGACAGAGACAGACACGCAAGGGGTCTTCGCGGACACGAAGACAGACGCAGACAGACCCAGACAGACACAAAGAGACACAGACAGACACGCAGGGGCAGGGGGGGTCTTCGCGGACACGAAGACAGATGCAGATACGTAGAAGACATAGACAGACACAGGTGGGGGAAACTACCCGAAGCCTAGGGAAGAAGCCCGAAAGCACGTATCGGAAGACTAGGAGAAGAAGCCGGAAGATTACGGAAGACTACGGGAAGAAGCCGAAAGATTGCGGAAATTCTAGGGAAGAGGCTTGGAAGACACGGAAGACTACGGGAAGCCAAGGTGGAAGATTACGGGACTGCCGGAAGCCGGAAGACTACGGAAGACTACGGGAAGAAGCCGGATTACGGAAGATTACGGAAGAGGGGGGGGGGAGGGGGGGAGAGGGGGAGGGGGAGGGGGAGGGCGGGGGAGGGAGGGAGGGGGAGGGGGAGGGGGAGGGGTGGGGAAATCCAGAATTCCAGAATCCAGAAATCCAGAGATCCAGAAATCCAGAAATCCAGAAATCCAGAAATCCAGCCGACGTAGAAACCAGCCCCAAGGGCCGCCCCAAGGGACATATAGGTTATATATATATATATATATCTACATAATCATATTCACATTAAACTTATAGAAAGCATATCAACAAAAGCAACACAGAACACACCGCCCCCATGCCGAAAGCATGGTCCATTCTGGACCAGGCATGGGGTCGGCGGATTGATATTTGATCGGAATGGGATCGGTGTTTAAGAGAATTTGCTTGATTTTTGGAGGGGAATTGGATTGGTTTTAGGTGGGAATTGGATTAGTCAATTGGATCGGTTTTTGGAGGGGATTTGATTGGTTGTTAGAATGGAGTTTATGCGGTTTCTAGGAGGTATTCGATTATATGTCTTCAATTACAATGCTCGTGTTGTTACGGTAGAAAGGGAGGGCAGCTGTGCAGGCTTGGTAGATCTTGAACGAAGGGATTTGACCTATAGGGATTGTGGCCGCACAATATGGGTTAAGGGGGGGTGTTGGGGTTGGGGATGGGGGTTTGAAAGATTCCCAAGAGGTGTTGAAGGGGTTTGATTGTTTGACTGCTTATCGACACTTCTGAACGACACTTCTGAGCAAAACTGCAGAATTGATACTTTTCAGTAACACTTTTCAGCATTACTTTTGATCGACACTTCTGAGCAACACTTCTAGCTGACATTCCGAGCAACACCTTTGAGCAAGACTTCTGATCTATACTTCGGAGTTACACTTCTGAGCGATACTTCTGACCAACACTTCTAGTCCACACTGCTCATCGACGCTTCTGAGCGACACTTTTGAACAACATTATTGAATTGACACTTCTGAACGATACTGCTGAGCAACACTTCAGGCTGACACTTCTGCGCGACACTTCCGAACAATACTTCTGATCGACACTTTTGAGCAACACTTTTGATCGACTTTTCTGAGCGACACCGCTGATGACCATTTCTGAGCAACACTTTCGATCCGTACTTCTGATTGACACTTCTGATCGACAGTTCTGAGCATTTGGTCAACACTTTTGATCCACACTGCTTATCGACACTTCTGAACGGCACTTCTGAGCAATACTGCTGAAATCAATTTTCTGAGCGCACACTCTTGAGCAACGCTTCAAACTGACACTTCTGCACGACATTTCCGAGCAACACTTCTGCTCGACACTTCTGATCGATACTTCTGAGCATCACTTCTGAGCAACACTTTTGACACAAACTTCAGAGTAACACTACTAATTCGACATTGTTGATCGACACCTCTGATCGACACCACGATCGACAATTGTGAGCCACATTTCTGATCGATGCTTCTAATCCACACTTTTGCGCGATACTTCAGAAAGATACTTCTGCGTAATATTTCTGAGGGAGTAATATTTTTGATTAACACTTCTGATCCGTAATGCTGAGTAACACTTCCGACCGACACTTCCGAGCAACACTTTTGAATAACACTTCTAAATTCGATACTGCTGATCGACATCCCTGACCGATACCTCTGATCGATAGTTCTGAGTAACACTTCTGACCGATGCTTCTGATCAACTTTTCCGAACAACATTTCTGAGCAAACACACGCACACATGTAAGCGACGCTTTTGAGCGACACTTAAGCGACACCTCTGAATAACACTTCTGGGTAACACTGCGCGGCATTCCTGAGCGACATTCGACACGTCTGAGCCACACACAATTTGTAACACTGTTGTTTGAGCGATAATTCGAACAACATTTCCACACACATATCTTACGATATGAGCGACGCTCCCGAGCAACACCTTTGAGCAAGACTTCTGATCTATGCTTCGGAATTACACTTCTGAGTGATACTTCTGACTAACACTTCTAGTCTATACTGCTCATCGACACTTCTGAGCGACACTTTTGAACAATATTATTGAATTGATACTTTTGAACGATATTTCTGAGCAAAACTATAGAATTGATACTTTTCAGTAACACTTTTGAGCATTACTTTTGATCGATACTTTTGAGCAACATTTCTTAGCCGATATTTCCGAGTAACACCTTTGAGGAAGATTTCTGATTTATACTTCGGAGTTACACTTCTGAGCGATATTTTTGATTAACATTTTTATACTGCTCATTGATACTTTTGAGCGATACTTTTGAATAACGATACTTTTGAACGATAGATTTAATCGATTTTTTTGAACGACATTATCGATTTCGATCTATATTTTTGATTGATAATTCTGAATATTTGATTAATATTTTTGATTTATATTGTTTATCGATATTTTTGAGTGGCATTTTTGAATTTTGAATAATATTATTGAAATTAATTGTTTGAATAATATATTTGAATAATATTTTTGATATATATATATATAATTTAGAATAATATTGATAAAGAATTTTGATTAATTGTTATATTAATATTTTTATCGAACATTAATATGGGATTATGATATTAGAATGATTTTGATTAATTTTGATATTTTTTAGATTTGTTAAAACGAATTGATTATATAATAGGATTAATTAAAATAACACTTATATAAATATTTATATATGCTTGTAAAATAGGATAATTTAAAATGATTATTTTTGGATTATAATTCCTATTGGTATGATAACGAGAATATACAATAATCAAATTATATTTGATATATTAAAATTTATATTGATATATTAAAAATTATGATTTTTATACGAAGGTCAAACTAATATATTTTAAATTATGTAAATAATATATTTTTTTAATTTTTTTATTGGAATTACGAATTTAACATTTTAAAATACATATGGACACTTGTAGATGTTTGAAGATATAAATTAATGATTTTTGGATATGTTTTAATTTTTAGATTTTTGATTTTTAAATAGGAACCCTTTTGTTATGTATTCGGTAAAAAGAAAAAGAAAAATACAGAAAGGGATAAAAACAGAAAGGAAGAAAAAGATAAAAAGAAAGAGAAAGAAAAAAGAAAAAACAGAAAATAAAAAAGAAGATATAACAAGAAAATAATGGAGCAAATATAGAATAAGATATAAAGGAACAAAAAATGAGAAAGAAATAAAAAGGAAAATCGATTTAGATAATATATAAAAAAAAGAAAGATTATGAACGAATAAAGGGTAAATAATTTATACTAGATAGATAGGGATATATGGAAATAGATAGAAAAATAGAAAAAGATAAAGAAATAGAGACGAACGATAGACACGAATATATAGAGACAAATAGAGACAAACAGAGACAAACCGAGACAACCCGAGAGACAGAAATACACAGACAAACAGATAGAGACAGAGAGGCAAAAACACTAAAAAGAAATAGATTGGGATACACAGAGATACACAAAGATAGACAGAGAAAAACAGAGATTACGAAATAAATAGATGTGGACACGCGGAAGCAGACTGGGAGACACGGAGAGAGGCAAGGATATGGAGACACCCGACACAAAATTTTCGAGAAATTTCGACTCGGCCAAATTTCCCCGAAATTTGGCTCGGTAATTTTTTCGAAAAGCCGCCAAATTCTGAAGAAATTTGCGGGGGTAATGTTCGGAAACCTAAGAGGCACGTCGCCGGAAACGACCCAAAATTCGGGAAAATTTGGCCGGGTTACGTTGCGGGAATTCTAAGCAAAATTATTAAGAATCCCTCCCGAAATTTCGGCAAAATTTCGGGACCTTCCGGGCCGTGCGAGGAGGCGGGAGTTTGTGCCATGGAAAAAAGATTGGGACAATTATAGCCGCTCGCCGCAAGCACTACGATTCGGCCGGAGTGCCGCTGCAACGGCTTGCCGGTGCACGGGATTTGCGACCTCGAGGCCGTATCGGTTGATAGGAGAATATTTATATATATATAATAAAATTCGAAAATTAAATATATGTATATATAATATTTATTAATTAATATATTATAGTTTTGGTTAGTTTTATTATTTTATATTTAAATTTAAGATTTATATAATATATTTTTTTTTTTAAAAAAAACATATTAGATTTATATGAAATATTTAGATATGAATATATATATTTTTCAATTCTTTTATTAATAAATGGTTTGTATATTTTATTAAATCAAATATTGAATTGGAATTTATATATATATATATATTTAAAAAATTAGACATTGTATAATTTTATAAATTATTTTATTCTTAATATTTATATCGTATCGAATATTATAATATTACTCTATTATCACCAACCATTATGCCCCTAAATCTACTATTGAAATACGAATGATATAAATAATTTATATATATCTTTTAACCTAAATGGTTTTGAATTGTCTATATATCGCCTTTCTTGAGTATGATATTGTGATTCCGGGAATAGAAAAGGATATACAATATGAATTTCTAAACGTTTATAAATATGATGCAATACTCATGAAATCATAAATCCGTCTTTTTAAAGATTCTCATATTTATGCCCTATAGTTTCTTTTCGATTTTCTTAATAACTAAAGAAGAATATTTGTAGGTAAAGGAATGGTCTTTCATATGGAATTTATCCATAATCTAAATATAGATCTATTTTAAACACTTATGACGAAGAATGTTAATCTAATATTCATAAGCTGAATGGCTCCGTATTCCCATAAGATCTTATCGAGGAGAATTCGACATTGCAAGACTCTAGTTTGGCAAGGAGCTAGATTAGCCCTTAACGAAAATTGGGAATCTTTTACTAGAATTTGTATAATTGTAGCTTTGTATTCAGCTAAGATATTGTTTTAAGGACCGGGTATATATATTTATGAATATGACCGAATAGATTAAACCAATTCTTATTTGATTATAGAATAGGATTATATTACATAAAATCGAATTTCTTTCATTAATTTCTATTTATTTCTCTTTATAATGACTATACAATATTATTAATAGAAGGAATCAAATATATATTATTTTACTATAAATATTTCCAAATATCTACTCTAAGCTCGGGAAAAGGGAAAAAACATGAACAAAATTAATCCCAATGACTACTCTATCACACCTTAGGCCTTTTTTTTTCCCCTCCTGGAGTGTATTCCGGGGGGGGGGAGAAAAAACAATCTGCATTTATTTTTTTTCGCGCCCCCTCCTCCCCACCCTTTACATATTCAACCAATCTTAAGCTTAGACACCCCCATACGCATTCAACCAATCTTAAACCTAGACCCCCATATATTCAAGAAATATAACTACAAACATGCTTGGTCAAAAACCATATAAAATAGGAAAATTATATATATATATTTTTATACAAAACACATATTATATATATTATAATATAATTGATATATTATTTATTAAATTTATATATAATTAATATAAAATAAAACATATTATATAATATTAATATCTAAAAATTCAATATTTGGATTTTGTTTATATAATGCAATATAATATATTATAATATATATTTCGGAATTATATATTATTGTATTAAAGATTATATTTATAAATTATTTCTTAATTCAAATTTTAAAAATCATATATAATAATTTTTGTGTATTTTTATTTATATATATTTCATTTTAATTAAGATATTAAACACCTAATATGGGGAAATTCATAAAATACAAATTATAATTAATATATATTTAATTTAGGAAATTAATCCTTAAATTCTTTATAACTAATTTTGAATATTATAAACAAGTATCATATATAATTTTAAATCCGAAATTATAATAAATTCATTATATTTTATAGAATAATACATATATTTTTATAAAACATAAACATTTAAAATCGAAATAACAATTAAACTTAATCTCCCAATATCCAATTTTTATATTTCTTATATTAACAACTAATTTTATTTACCTTAATAGAAATATGATTATTTATTTGGAAAAATATATATTTAGCCGTAAAACGAGTTAGGGAACACACCGAAAACGAGATACTGGCCAAACCTATACCTAATTGCAAAAATCATCTCAAATATTATATATTTTTTTTATAACTTGTGGAACAACAACTTACCTATTAACAAAGAAAATAAAGGAAATCTTTTTCTTCAAATTCTATAAAAAAAATAAGCCAAATAAAACGAACGTGCTATTAAAAACACAAAATAAACAATTACGACCAAGTGCAAAATTAAAAGCCAAATCAATTACATCCATCCATTATACCATATAATAAATAAATATCATTATTCATATTTAAAAAACCATCTTAATAATCAAATACATAAATATTAAATTCTCATCTCCTCCTTAAATTATATACATTATATGATATTCAAATATTTCTATATTATCTTATCAATTCCAAAAATTGTTCCTTCAAAAATATATTAATAATATATATTCTAAATAATATCAATTAAACAAATAAATAACATAAAACAATTCCTACTCATAATATAATAATTTCATTCCTCAAAAATATCCCATCCTACCTCTACAAACAAATATTATCATTCAATATAGCTTTCTTATTATCTAAAATCGAAATTAATCTTTATCTTTTTATTATTTTCATTTTTCAAATTAAAAAATCATATGTTTATAGATATATATTGTATAATTAATATTTATTTACATTATTATATTTGGAATAAATCCAATTGTATGTAATTGGCAAAACATATTTTTATATTTTGTCCAACGAAGGTCATTTAGCTCGAATTCGACAAAGACCGCACCTGTGGCAAGTCCTTGGAATCTCCCTCCCCAAACTTCCATACGCCCGTCTTGGACGCCTTTCGGTTTAAGGAGTGGCATGCAAAAGATCACAGTGCGACAGACTTCACTACAAACGCCTGGGGGAACTGAAGCAAAATCGGGAGTGCTGGTGCGCCTTGCCGCCAAATAGGCATGTAGGCGTCGTAGTACACATGTTGTGTGCACTGCGGCCCCGAACCACACGCCACGTACGCCGGCATGTGCGGCACGTATGACGTGCTCTGCAATCTGGGCGCGTAGACCGGGATCATTGGTGCATAACTCACCTCTTTGGCCCCTCCCATGAACTTGGGTTTGCTCATCTCCTCCGTCACATCTTGCTCGGGTCCATCCTGCTACAAACGCGCAAGCTGCCAAGGCCTAACTGCAACCTCCTACTCCCCCCGCCAACATCCCGCACATCCCGCGCCGCATCGCTCCTCAGCCGTGCTGAAGAGGGCTTCCACGAATCCCACGGCGCCAGCAGCTCCCCGATAGAACTGGAGGCCTCGCTGGCACCAGCTCGGCACTTCCTCCGCGCCAAGCTCCCGGAGGAACTCCGACGCGAAGTCCACGCAGTTGTTGCCGGTCCGGCTGTAGGCTCGGCTGCCGAACCTGGGAAAGAAAACCTGGCCCAAAAGGCACGTAAAACGTGACACCGCGCCTGGTCTTGCCGAGCTTGAAGGCGATGGCCAGCACTTTTTGGGGACTGCATGTCGTGGTGCCCAGCTCCTCTTCACACTTCCTAAGCAACCGACACTGCCACCACATTGTTCCCGGTGCGCCCCAAGCCACTCGAGAGCCGAATTCCGACCCGAACCTTGCAGCCCTGCGTCCATTGGTTTCCCCAGCCAGGGTCGCGGGGCTGGTGGCAGAAGACACCGCTGTCAGGGCCTAACCGTAAGGCGAACGAACAACATGCCGGACTTGCCGGAGAAGCAAAGTTTCAAAGAGCACCGATCAGCATGTCAACTGCCCCTCGCCTCCGATGCTGCGGCCCTTCTTCTTGTTGAAGATGCCATAGCCTATGCTGAGGTCACGCACACATTTTTCGAGCGGGTCTGGGGTTCATGCTGGATCACGGATTTCACATGACAGGTCTCACCTGTGCATCCAGAACTTGATGAGTTCGCCAACTTCTGGTGCTGCGGAATACAGTATTCGAAGGCACAAGTAACACGCTTAGCAAAAAACAGCAAAATGTTCAAAGTCTTGTTCTGGGCGCTGCCCTATGAATGTATTTGACGGCCAAAGCAAACCAATTGGTAAACACAGCCTGCCCGGGTTCAAAGCGTCCGGATCACACAATCCAACTCGCCTGATGCCTGCCAAGACTTTTCGCGGACCTCAAGACCAAACTAACTTGCTCCCCAAACAACAATACGCAAAAGTGTGCATTCAAACACATGTATTCAAGGTGCACATTGATTTTTCTTTCCTTTTGCTCGCCTCATTGCCTACCGAGCAACAGTATTCTTGCCCGTATACCTCAACTCCTACGTGGTACACGCCGACCACGTCCTTGGCCCAATGTGACAGCCACCGTGGCATCGTGCTCGGTAGCTGCTGCAGCCTCAGGACAGGACTCGAACCCGGGGCAAGATGTGTTCAGCCCACCCTGGCTTGGGATAAGTTGACACATCCCCTGCTCCCCTTTCAAGGAATCAAAAGAAGACTGTGACTTTGACGTGCCGGCCTGCCCCTCTCGTCGTAGGACACAGGGTGCTGGTAATAGACCTCACGAAACATGCGCACTATTGCATTTGCTGCGCCGATCACACTTTTGCCAATCAAGTCGAGTGGCATTCAGCTTCACCACAGCTGGCGCCATGACTAAAGTTGGCACTGCAGGCGGCACCAGCGCAACCTCTTTGCAGCTACGATCTGTTCAACAGAGAAAAGGACTTGCTGGTGCGGGAACTCAGGTTGAGCCCAAATTGAAAGACCAAACTGAGGGATTGCGGGTGATTGCAGATTTGCTTTCCGGTCAATCTACCACGCAAGGATGCAATGGCAGACTCAAACTATGCGAGCCAATGCTGCTTAGCCCAGCGTACGCAGTGGCCGCATGTCCTTGCCCAGAGGTTGCTTGGAAACACACCATGTGTCTGAAAGTTCAACTCAATCTCAACAAAAACATATCAATCCCAAGAAAAACAACAAGTAAAAGTACAACAACATGCAAAACCCCACTATACCCTTACCAAACATATATACACATATATGCATATATATATATATATATATATATGTCATTATAATATAATAGAATGTTCATACTCTAATATCACATTGTGTTGTAACAACGTTATAGCAGCACACCAACGATACGAAATAAACATCATGTCTTTCTACATTGCGGAATTATTGTTCGAATATGATTATATATAGTATATATAGATAGCATATATACATGTTTATATATGTATGCATATATTTTTGTGATATGTGTCTAAAACATCAAAGCATAAACAAGCAGTATTCTTAAGTACCAACCACAGTAACATCTAATATTAACACTAACATTATTTAACCCACATACTACATGTTCCTTTAATGCTACGGCACCATAACGCATCATAATTTCAGCCTTATATAACCACGCAAGTCCTTTTCTCCTCTGTCCAACGAAGGTCATTTAGCTCGAATTCGACAAAGACCGCACCTGTGGCAAGTCCTTGGAATCTCCCTCCCCAAACTTCCATACGCCCGTCTTGGACGCCTTTCGGTTTAAGGAGTGGCATGCAAAAGATCACAGTGCGACAGACTTCACTACAAACGCCTGGGGGAACTGAAGCAAAATCGGGAGTGCTGGTGCGCCTTGCCGCCAAATAGGCATGTAGGCGTCGTAGTACACATGTTGTGTGCACTGCGGCCCCGAACCACACGCCACGTACGCCGGCATGTGCGGCACGTACGTGCTCTGCAATCTGGGCGCGTAGACCGGGATCATTGGTGCACTCACCTCTTTGGCCCCTCCCATGAACTTGGGTTTGCTCATCTCCTCCGTCACATCTTGCTCGGGTCCATCCTGCTACAAACGCGCAAGCTGCCAAGGCCTAACTGCAACCTCCTACTCCCCCCGCCAACATCCCGCACATCCCGCGCCGCATCGCTCCTCAGCCGTGCTGAAGAGGGCTTCCACGAATCCCACGGCGCCAGCAGCTCCCCGATAGAACTGGAGGCCTCGCTGGCACCAGCTCGGCACTTCCTCCGCGCCAAGCTCCCGGAGGAACTCCGACGCGAAGTCCACGCAGTTGTTGCCGGTCCGGCTGTAGGCTCGGCTGCCGAACCTGGGAAAGAAAACCTGGCCCACAAGGCACGTAAAACGTGACACCGCGCCTGGTCTTGCCGAGCTTGAAGGCGATGGCCAGCACTTTTTGGGGACTGCATGTCGTGGTGCCCAGCTCCTCTTCGCACTTCCTAAGCAACCGACACTGCCACCACATTGTTCCCGGTGCGCCCCAAGCCACTCGAGAGCCGAATTCCGACCCGAACCTTGCAGCCCTGCGTCCATTGGTTTCCCCAGCCAGGGTCGCGGGGCTGGTGGCAGAAGACACCGCTGTCAGGGCCTAACCGTAAGGCGAACGAACAACATGCCGGACTTGCCGGAGAAGCAAAGTTTCAAAGAGCACCGATCAGCATGTCAACTGCCCCTCGCCTCCGATGCTGCGGCCCTTCTTCTTGTTGAAGATGCCATAGCCTATGCTGAGGTCACGCACACATTTTGCAAGCGGGTCTGGGGTTCATGCTGGATCACGGATTTCACGTGACAGGTCTCACCTGTGCATCCAGAACTTGATGAGTTCGCCAACTTCTGGTGCTGCGGAATACAGTATTCGAAGGCACAAGTAACACGCTTAGCAAAAAACAGCAAAATGTTCAAAGTCTTGTTCTGGGCGCTGCCCTATGAATGTATTTGACGGCCAAAGCAAACCAATTGGTAAACACGGCCTCGGATCACAAAATCCAACTCGCCTGATGCCTGCCAAGACTGTTCGGGGACCTCAAGACCAAACTCACTTGCTCCCCAAACAACAACACGCAAAAGTGTGCATTCAAACACATGTATTCAAGGTGCACATTGACTTTTCTTTCCTTTTGCTCGCCTCATTGCCTACCGAGCAACAGTATTCTTGCCCGTATACCTCAACTCCTACGTGGTACACGCCGACCACGTCCTTGGCCCAGTGTGTCAGCCACCGTGGCATCGTGCTCGGTAGCTGCTGCAGCCTCAGGACAGGACTCGAACCCGGGGCAAGATGTGTGCAGCCCACCCTGGCTTGGGATAAGTTGACACATCCCCTGCTCCCCTTTCAAGGAATCAAAAGCAGGCTGTGACTTTGACGTGCCGGCCTGCCCCTCTCGTCGTAGGACACAGGGTGCTGGTAATAGACCTCACCAAACATGCGCACTATTGCATTTGCTGCGCCGATCACACTTTTGCCAATCAAGTCGAGTGGCATTCAGCTTCACCACAGCTGGCGCCATGACTAAAGTTGGCACTGCAGGCGGCACAAGCGCAACCTCTTTGCAGCTACAATCTGTTCAACAGAGAAAAGGACTTGCTGGTGCGGGAACTCAGGTTGAGCCCAAATTGAAAGACCAAACTGAGGGATTGCGGGTGATTGCAGATCTGCTTTCCGGTCAATCTACCACACAAGGATGCAATGCGCAGACTCAAACTATGCGAGCCAATGCTGCTTAGCCCAGCGTACGCAGTGGCCGCATGTCCTTGCCCAGAGGTTGCTTGGAAGCACACCATGTGTCTCAAAGTTCAACTCAATCTCAACAAAAACATATCAATCCCAAGAAAACACAACAAGTAAAAGTACAACAACATGCAACACCCCACTATACCCTTACCAAACATATATACACATATATGCATATATATATATATATCATTATAATATAATATAATGTTCATACTGTAATATCACATTGTGTTGTAACAACGTTATAGCAGCACACCAACGATACGAAATAAACATCATGTCTTTCTACATTGCGGAATTATTGTTCGAATAGGATTATATATAGCATATATAGATAGCATATATACATGTTTATATATGTATGCATATATTTTTGATATGTGTCTAAAACTTCAAAGCATTAATAAGCAGTATTATTAAATACCAACAACAGTAACATCTAATATGCGAATTATTTGAACACATACTACATGTTCCTTTAATGCTACGGCAACATAACGCATCATAGATTCAGCCTTGTATAACCACGCAAGCACGTATATCCTTTGTCCAACGAAGGTCATTTAGCTCGAATTCGACAAAGACCGCACCTGTGGCAAGTCCTTGGAATCTCCCTCCCCAAACTTCCATACGCCCGTCTTGGACGCCTTTCGGTTTAAGGAGTGGCATGCAAAAGATCACAGTGCGACAGACTTCACTACAAACGCCTGGGGGAACTGCAGCAAAATCGGGAGTGCTGGTGCGCCTTGCCGCCAAATAGGCATGCAGGCATCATGGTACACATGTTGTGTGCAGCGCAGCCCCGAACCACACGCCACGTACGCCGGCATGTGCGGCACGTATGACGTGCTCTGCAATCTGGGCGCGTAGACCGGGATCATTGGTGCATAACTCACCTCTTTGGCCCCTCCCATGAACTTGGGTTTGCTCATCTCCTCCGTCACATCTTGCTCGGGTCCATCCTGCTACAAACGCGCAAGCTGCCAAGGCCTAACTGCAACCTCCTACTCCCCCCGCCCAACATCCCGGCACATCCCGCGCCGCATCGCTCCTCAGCCGTGCTGAAGAGGGCTTCCACGAATCCCACGGCGCCAGCAGCTCCCCGATAGAACTGGAGGCCTCGCTGGCACCAGCTCGGCACTTCCTCCGCGCCAAGCTCCCGGAGGAACTCCGACGCGAAGTCCACGCAGTTGTTGCCGGTCCGGCTGTAGGCTCGGCTGCCGAACCTGGGAAAGAAAACCTGGCCCAAAAGGCACGTAAAACGTGACACCGCGCCTGGTCTTGCCGAGCTTGAAGGCGATGGCCAGCACTTTTTGGGGACTGCATGTCGTGGTGCCCAGCTCCTCTTCGCACTTCCTAAGCAACCGACACTGCCACCACATTGTTCCCGGTGCGCCCCAAGCCACTCGAGAGCCGAATTCCGACCCGAACCTTGCAGCCCTGCGTCCATTGGTTTCCCCAGCCAGGGTCGCGGGGCTGGTGGCAGAAGACACCGCTGTCAGGGCCTAACCGTAAGGCGAACGAACAACATGCCGGACTTGCCGGAGAAGCAAAGTTTCAAAGAGCACCGATCAGCATGTCAACTGCCCCTCGCCTCCGATGCTGCGGCCCTTCTTCTTGTTGAAGATGCCATAGCCTATGCTGAAGTCACGGCTGAGGTGGGGAATCAAGGAATCATGGCGTTCAATCATTCCCAACCACCCCGTGCGGGCAAACATTCTGCTTGATGAGTTTGCCGACTTCTGCTGCCGAATACGCGTATTCGAAGCGGCGAGCAAAGAGCCAGAACAGCATGCGATCAGCGGCACTCCCCGACACATTTATTTGAACGCCACAGCGTGAAACCTGCCAAGACTTGCTGGGGATCTCAAGGCCAGACTGCCCGGCCCCCCGAAAAACCGCTTGTGAGTTCGGAAGAAACAGGTACGCATCGTCCTTTCTCTCCTTTTGCTCGCCTCATTGCCTACCGAGCAACAGTATTCTTGCCCGTATACCTCAACTCCCACGTGGTACACGCCGACCACGTCCTTGGCCCAATGTGACAGCCACCGTGGCATCGTGCTCGGTAGCTGCTGCAGCCTCAGGACAGGACTCAGACTCGGGGCAAAATGTGTTCAGCCCATTTTGCCCTGGCTTGGGATAGCTTGACACATCCCCTAGTCCCCTTTCAAGGAATCAAAAAAAGACTGTGACTTTAACGTGCCGGCCTGCCCCTCTCGTCGTAGGACACAGGGTGCTGGTAATAGACCTTACCAAACATGCGCACTGCATTTGCTGCGCTGCCGATCACACTTTTGCCAATCAAGTCGAGCGGCATTCAGCTTCACCACAGCTGGCGCCATGACTAAAAGTTTTCTCTGCAGGCGGCACAAGCGCAACCTCTTTGCTGCTACAATCTGTTCAACAGAGAGAAGGACTTGCTAGTGCGAAAACCCAGGTTGGGCCCAAATTGAATGCCCAAACTGAGGGATTGCGGGTGATTGCAAATCTGCTTTTCGGTTAATCTACCACGCAAGGATGCACGCAGACTCAAACTATGCGAGCCAATGCTGCTTCTTAGCCCAGCGTATGCAGTGGCCACATACCTGTCCTTGCCTGGGGAGTATGTGGTAACACACACCCCAGCATGGACAGCTGATTAGAGGATATAGCGAGACCCAACATCCATCTATTGAACCCTGGCATTGGCCTCTCTCCCATTCTCTCCCACTATCTCGATGGGACCGTTACAAATAATTGGCTTCCTTTGGGAATACTCTCAAGTTGGCGTCCCGCAAGTTCCTTCATCCCATTATACAATACAATCTTTGAATACGGGGCCAGGAAGAATGGATGCTCCACCAAGCATGACACAACTGGCACTGGATCCCGCCAAAAAGCCGTCAAGTTGTGCCACAGCGCACAGCCTTTTCCAGCGCTCCAGGCTTGTCTATGCGACCCACCGGGCGTGGTCAATTACGTGCTGTCTACAGGATCTTTGCGTGCCTAGCGCGCAGCCAGTGAGCAGCCGAGCGTTTTACAATATACTTGGGTGTCATCGGGCCCAAATGCAGCAAGCTGCTGATGGGATGTCTGCATTTTTCAAAGTTTAAATGAGAAACCAAAGGAAGCCAATGGGATGTCTGCATTTTTAGAAGTTTAAATGAGAAGTCAAAGGAAGCCAACCAAATCGAGGCCTCCTTATCCAATGTTAGCCACGCGCTCAGAGCTCCTTGTCTCCGTAGCAAGGGCAAAACCTGACGCTTCAATTAGGGAACCAACATGTGGCTGAGCCCCTTTGCTTCTCTTGAAGCACCCAAAAAAAGTAACCAGGAATAACGAGACACACTCAGCCGCCTTGCTGTGTGGCCGGGCAAGCATGAGGGCAGCTGTAGTGCATGAGCAAGAAGGTTGCAAGGTCGCGAGAATTGGGGGGATTCGTTTGCCAAGAACCACGCCCAGTGGAGTTTGTGATGTCACAGAAGGGAACAACTCACAACCCCAAGGCCCTGCAATATGTGCTCATTCGTCGCGGCCTGTAGGTGCCAGCATCCCCCACCGCAGAGCAGCGTGACCTCAGCGCAGTGATAGTTGGACTTGAGTTGGCCCTGCTTCATCTGGACTTGGGGCGGGAATCTGCTGCAGGCACCGCAACACTGCAACCTAAACCGACACTGGCACCAAGCCATGAGGCATGTTGACACTCAAGCCAGCGAGCACGTGCGCCAAACATGGCTGTATCCTTGTCATGATTGCTGCTCCCTTTCACAATGCGTCTGTGGTTGGGATGGAGTCATTCCTTGGTGCCTTGGTAGGCACATGGGGTGACGTGTTTCGAACACCACCTTTTGTCATCTGAAAAGGAGTGTCCTTTGAGGATAGTCCAATGGGACATGCAAGGAACCCTGACAGAGCAAGGCTCTGCAAGCCTGTGTTCCTAGCTGGCCACCCTCGCCCTGCCAGCCGCAGTATCGGCCTGGCCAAGTCAGCTGCGAGCAGCGTCTGCAACGGCTTCTTCGGATGTTGACCGGATTCAAAATTCAACCCCGCCGGAATGAACATGCGAACATTGTGCGTTGAGGCACTTGCCAGCAAGGTGTCATTTGCATGAATACTACAGCCTGGTATCATATGCCAAGATCAAGAAAACTTCTTTCTGGCCCAACGACTCAACAGAGGGCTTGCAATGAAGTCAACAAGTCCCCGCGCCATCAGTGCTGGGGTCGTACTTTGCACCGCCCTGCTGGATACTGACCTGCAAATGCGGATGTCAGTGGCGAGCTGCGAGCAAGTTCAGGTGATTGTAAGTGCACCTGGAAGTAAATGGGTCTACCATTAAACATGGTATAGTATAGAATCACAGCTGCAGCTGTTATGGTTTGGGAATCTTCCCCGGCTAACATTCATCTTCCCCTTATGATTGGGCAAGTGAGCTGAAAGGCTAGGGCTCGTGCACAGTTCAGGCCAGATTCAGCCAGCACCTCCTTGAACTCTTCCATGCTATTCCTGAGAAAACTCGCAATGAAGCTGAGAAACGCCTGCTCCAGGCTGTAAAAAAACACGTGTTGTAGCATTACCTGCGTAAGGTGATGCGCAGTAAAACGGGCAGCACGACTTGTTCTAACCTGCAAGCAATGGGGGGTTGCAAATA